GGTTCAGGTCTGAGAAGATGTCGTACTCCAGAGGTACTTCAGTCATGTCAGAGAAGGCCTTAACTGCAGTCTCCATTGTGGACAGTTTGATGGTGACTGTAGCAGACAGAGCGGGCTCCCCGTTGTCTTTAGCAATAACAACCAGTCTCTGGTGGCGCGGATCTCTGTAGCTGAACATCCTCATAGTCCGGATCTCTCCGTTGTACTGGTCCAGACTGAACAAGGTGGCGTCAGTCACCTGTAGAAACTGGTAGGTAATCCGAGAGTTGTGCACCGAGTCTGTGTCTAAGGCTATCACCTTGGCAACCAGAGAGCCTTTTTCGGTGGACCTGGGGATCTTTTCCTCCACCACCGAGCCGTGCGCTCGCCACGGAGACACAATGACCGGAGCGTTGTCGTTCTGGTCCACAATGATGATGTGGACCGTGACGTTACTGCTGAGTGGAGGAGAGCCAGAGTCTCTGGCCTCGATGTGGAAAAGAAAATCCTTCTCGATCTCATAGTCAAAAGTTTTCAGTGCGTAAAGATTGCCGTTCTCTGGGTTGATGGAGAACAGCATGGACATGGAGGTGTTGGCTATCTCCTTCTCGAGGATGAAATAAACTAGATACTGGTTTTCATGGAGGTCAGGGTCAAAGGCAGTGAGGGAGCTGAGCAGGGCCCCAGGTGCGTTATTCTCCATCACACGTATCGTGTAAAATGACTGAGAGAACTGAGGTACATTGTCATTCACATCCAGCAGCTCTAACGTCATAGTTTCATTGTCAGATAAAGGAGGAGAACCTCTGTCTGTCACAGTGAAAGTGATGTCATATTCTGGGACCTTCTCACGGTCTAACGGCTCTGACACCACTAATTCATAATAGTTATCAGAGGACTCCCTCAGTTTGAAAGGCATATTATCAGGAATGTGAAGATCAACCACCCCATTGTCACCTGAGTCTTTGTCACTGACACTAACTACAGCTATGACTGTGTCTAATTCTATGTTTTCATTGACTGGACTCTGAAATGACTTAATAGATATTTCTGGGTGGTTGTCATTCATGTCTTCCACCAGAATCTTTATGGTACATTGTCCTGACAAACTGTTGGCTCCTTTGTCTGTTGCTATAACTTCCATATCATAAATCCTGAAGTCTTCATAATTCAACATTCCTTTAACAGTAATTTCACCAGTGGAAGGATTCAGATGAAATGTTTCTTGTGTTTTCTCTGATGTATATAAACTGTATGAGTATGCTACATCAGAATTTGATCCCTCATCTAAGTCTGTGGCATTAAGATGGATAACAAGGCTCCCAATGGGAGAATTTTCCATAATGTTTATATTATAAATTACTTTGTCAAACGTTGGAGCGTTGTCATTTGTGTCTAAAACACGAATAATAACACTTGCAGTACCAGACCGAGGAGGTATTCCTCCATCTACAGCTGTGAGGATTAAATTATGAACAGCCTGTTTCTCTCTGTCTAAGGCCTTTTTTAATATCAAATCTGCAAACTTTGTTCCTTCTCTTCCCGTCTGGACTTCAATATTGAAATATTCACTTTCACTTAGATGGTATGTTTTTACTGAATTGCTTCCGACATCAGGATCCACTGCATTACTGAGAGAGAATCTTTCTCCTTTTGGCGTAGCTTCAGATATGTCTAAGTGGATAATGTCTCTTCTGAACTGTGGGGCGTTGTCGTTAATATCTAAAATTTCGACTTCTATGTTAAAGATTCGCACCGGGTTTTCCAGTATTACCTCCAGTCTTAGATAGCAAGATGACTTTGCTGGACATATGTATTCTCTGTCGATCTTTTCAACAACATATAGTTCACCAGTCTCTCTGTTTGCATCGAGATATTTTTTACTCGCGATGATGTCGAGTCTCATCTTTCGCTGATTCAGTGTTTTAACATCCAGGCCCAGGTCGGTGGCAAGGTTTGCGACAACGGATCCTTCTTTCATTTCCTCGGGAATGGAGTAATGATTTACTGATGTTGATACATAACAAATGGTAGACGAAATAATAACCATCAACACGTACCTTTTGTATGACCGCATTGTCAAAACGGACCCTTTGTTCTCAAACTATTCACCGTATGACGTACATCAGTCGATGTAAGGCGTGTTTCCACTAATTGGCATAATCCATTGAAAGTGTCCTTCAAAACATATCTGTTCAATTTAAATCCCCAAAGCGTTTGCTGCATTTAACAGCTAAAATGTGCTACTTGACATTCGTACGAATTTCAGCACCACGGAGCTGTCCGTTTTGTTCCTACGTCTACCTCACTGACTGAGATTTGCTGTCATGGCGTTCATAGACTGGAATTCTTTTTTTCGAGTAAACAGCGCCACTCTACGCATATACAAGATCACACATATAAAGTTTACGACCAACAAAAAAAATTGAAATATGTGTAGGTTTTAAACAACTGCTGACGTTGAATACAGGGAAAAAATAAAACACAAATTTAAAATGGTATAGTATGAGGAAAACAGAAAAATATGCAATGTTGGTACCTACCTGCAGAGTGGAGGCTGCTGAGTCACTGGTGTCTGTCAGTCCTGTTCCTCTTGGTAAACTGGACACGATGTATCTGGAGCCCTTTGGCACAGGCTGTCTGACCACCAGCTTTCCTTTCCTGGTCTCTGCTAGAAACAGACTGTACCAGTACGCATCGTTGGAGACCAGAGTGGAGTCTGCGATGGTGGAGTTCCTCTCACTGATCACACTGTTCCTGCAGGGAGCAGCAGCTTTGCTGGGCTTGGATTTCTGACACTTGAGCACGATGGTGACCAATATGGTGATGAGCAGGAGAAATGACACTGAGCCCAGACCGATGACCAAATACAGGTTCAGGTCTGAGAAGATGTCGTACTCCAGAGGTACCTCAGTCATGTCAGAGAAGGCCTTAACTGCAGTCTCCATTGTGGACAGCTTGATGGTGACTGTAGCAGACAGAGCGGGCTCTCCGTTGTCTTTAGCAATAACAACCAGTCTCTGGTGGCGCGGATCTCTGTAGCTGAACATCCTCATAGTCCGGATCTCTCCGTTGTACTGGTCCAGACTGAACAAGGTGGCGTCAGTCACCTGTAGAAACTGGTAGGTAATCCGAGAGTTGTGCACCGAGTCTGTGTCTAAGGCTATCACCTTGGCAACCAGAGAGCCTTTATCGGTGGACCTGGGGATCTTTTCCTCCACCACCGAGCCGTGCGCTCGCCACGGAGACACAATGACCGGAGCGTTGTCGTTCTGGTCCACAATGATGATGTGGACCGTGACGTTACTGCTGAGTGGAGGAGAGCCAGAGTCTCTGGCCTCGATGTGAAAAAGAAAGTCCTTCTCGATCTCATAGTCAAAAGTTTTCAGTGCGTAAAGATTGCCGTTCTCTGGGTTGATGGAGAACAGCATGGACATGGAGGTGTTGGCTATCTCCTTCTCGAGGATGAAATAAACTAGATACTGGTTTTCATGGAGGTCAGGGTCAAAGGCAGTGAGGGAGCTGAGCAGGGCCCCAGGTGCGTTATTCTCCATCACACGTATCGTGTAAAATGACTGAGGGAACTGTGGCGCGTTATCATTAACATCCAGTAGATGTAATTGTATTGTTTCATTATCAGATAAAGGAGGCGTCCCTGCATCTGTAACAGTAAGTAGTATGTCGTATTCAGGCACCAATTCACGATCCAACGTTGCAGACACTATAAGCTTGTAATGCATGGGTCTATCTGATGACTGGTTGAGAATAAAGGGCAGGTTCTGATTTATGGATAAGCTCGCTTTTCCATTATCGCCAGTGTCTCTGTCACTTATTCCAACCAGAGCAATGACACTTCCTACTGGAATGTTCTCATCCACTGTGTTTTTAACAGACTGTATGGTGATTTCCGGAAAATTATCATTCATGTCGGTCACGTGCACCACTACTTTACATTGGCCAAGTAAGGGATGCGTCCCTTTGTCCCTGGCCTCAATGTGCATCTCGTAAAATTTCATGTCTTCATAGTCAACAGTGCCCTTCACAGTTATCTCCCCTGTGTTAGGATTCAATGCAAAGACATCCTGTGTTTTTTCTGACGTGTAAAGGGTGAATGAGTACACAATCTCTGAATTAAGACCCTCGTCCAGATCAGTAGCGTTAAGCTTCATCACCAAAGTTCCTAGGGGGGAATTTTCTGTCATGTTAATAGTGTAGGTCTGTTTGTCAAACCGAGGAGGATTGTCGTTTGTATCTTGTACATGAACAATTATATTGGCAGTGCCAGAGCGCACAGGGACCCCGCCGTCCACAGCAGTCAGGATAAGATTATGAACCGCTGTCTCCTCTCTGTCTAAAGACTTAGCCAACACCAAATCAACATACTGAGTTCCATCACTGCCAGTCTGAATTTCAATCGTGAAATGATCACTGACACTGAGTTTGTATGTTTTTATCGTATTTATGCCAACATCTGGATCCACAGCATTAGGCAGGGAGAACCTCTCTCCCGGCGATGCTGATTCTGAAACGTCGAGCTCTACCCTGTCTCGTCGAAAATGTGGCGCGTTATCATTAATGTCCGTTATTCCAAGTTCGATGTTAAAGATTCGTAAGGGGCTTTCTATGATGACGTCAAGCTTTAGAAAACAGGAGGTAGTCTTCATCGGACAAAGGTATTCCCTGTCCATCTTTTCCACAATATACAGTTCCCCTGTCTTTTTATTCACATCTAGATATTTTTTGTTATGAAAAATATCAAGTTTTACCTCTCTCTGTGCCAAACCGCCAAGTTCAAGTCCCAAATCCGAAGCCAGATTTGCCACAACCGAGCCCCTCTCCATCTCCTCGGCTATGGAGTACCTTGTTACAGACAGAGCTCTGCGCCACACCGCACACAAAACAAAGACAGTGATCCAAAAATTCATCCTTTCATCAGCAGGGGAAAATTATACTCCAGATAAGAAGTGTTATACTGATGATCTCAAGTATCTGACAAAATATCCCAGGACATGAGGGTGGGTCGTGTGGTGAATTTAAATATAAATATATTTTCTTAAAGCTGTGTACAACCCCTTATGGGTGTGTCATGTCTTGAGAGAGAGCTACGCTTTAAGTTATGCTTTAATGGTCAACAGTGACACCATGTGACAGGGTGCAGTTATTGTTTAAAAATGAGCTTTGACAGTAGTATGCATCATGATGTACTGTTATGGGTTTTCTTAAGATCAGAATTTTTATCATTGCTTTAATTAAAAGTTCAGCTTTAAGTCATAACAAAACTGCAGCCATGTGACAGTCGACTTGGGTCAATTTGCTTTGCCCATACACCTTTACTGTATTAGATAACTAAAGGTCACGTAATACTCTGCTAAGTTTGTTGCAGAATAAGGCCTCCTCAATAATTCACCTCATATTCACTGTGTACTGCAAAGGATCCAAAACGAAATTTATTTGACAATGTGACTTAACATGACAGTAGCGTTTTTTTTAAAAGAACAGCAAACGCCTAAGGCATCTCAATAGACATGCTAATGATGTGACTCACCTGAGTAAAAAGAGATCCACTGCCAACAGTGTCCTCCCTGGGTCAGGGTAATGCCCAAGTGCCCTTGAGCAAGCCACCAAACTCCCAACAGCTATGTTGTGCTCCCTGTGTAGCAGCCCCACTCTGACATCTTTCCACTAATGCATGTCCACAGGTACTGTTTGTGAATGTTTTTTTTTATTTTGGGCCTATTTGTGTGAGAAGCATGTCTCTCAATAACAGAGTGTAAACCAGAATCTCCCTCAATGATTAATAAAGTATGTAAAAGTAACTTCTGAAATATATTTATTGGAGAGAAGAAACTGTCACTAGTATAAGACAACAAATGTCAACTGTCAACTAATAGTCGATTCTGTCCATGTAATCAACAGGTCAATTTGGAGGTTCATTGCTGTGATGGGGAGCCAACCGAGTTTCAGATTCCTTTATGGCCAATCCTGCATCCAAAACCCGATGTGTCTTCCTAAGAGGAAAGTGTAAACCCAGGCTAGTGCCACACAAATGCTCAACCCCCAGAACTTCTTGCATGCACCCAAAATCCAACAATCTGAATTTACAGCCCAATTTTACTTGGAAATGAATTCTATGTATTCTTTAAACTCCCTCCATGTTCTTTTAGAAAGACAATTCCATCATCCTTGCACAGGGGAATGAATAATATAATTTAATGGTTGACTTCTAGTACTTTAGTTTTCACTTTAATACATCCACCCCAAGGAATATAAGGAGAATTGTGCTGAACCACTTTTTGTTCTATGTATAGAGGAATCCATTTCTCTAAAACCAGTAATACTTTGAGTATCAGTTTTTATAATGTTTTACACCATGCTGTGACCTGCAGACTGCAAAATTCAAATTTTAAAAACCTTTCCAGTCTTATGCATCAGCATGCACACCTTGGAGCTGGGGTGAAAAGAATTGTGACCGACAGCTGATCTAAGTACATGTTCCCTCTTCCACAGTGGACTGTCATAAGTTTAGTGGGTGACATTGAATATCCACATACATTAAATGAGCTTAATACTGTGCTTAACTATAGTATTTTGGTAAGTTTATTTTCTGCTTGGTGGCAAAAAATGTAGCTTTCTTCAGCCAACTGAAAACGGCCAACTATTTCATAGATCAAAAATAAACTTCAAAAAATACATACATACATACATACATACTAACATACATATATACATTCATATATATATATACAGTATATATATATATATATATATATATATATATATATATATTAATTGAATGATTCAAAGAAAGTTATTTCTGCTTTTGTGATAAAGATCTGTCGGTCCAACATCTGCCCTCCACGAAGAGGTCCGGTGTGGCTGCATCAAGAAGGATTACTAACGTCCTTAGAAACCTGTAAGAACCTCTCCTCACTTTTGTTTACAAATAGCAATTATCTATACCAATACATCCTAGCATAAGATTCAGATTTGAAATAAAAAATTAAATACAAAATATTTTTCACAAAATGGCAATACTATATCTGAGACCTAAACATGACCTTAAAATCCCATGAGGTTGTTCTCAGGGATCAACAGAAAAAATGTTTTGTTGATGAATGATTTATTATTATCTTCATGGTTAAAATAAAAAATGAGAATAAAAATGTATTAAACTTTCACTTTCCTTTAATTATCTTGCAAAGATGTTTTGGGTTTTTTCTTGATTAAATTATTAACATTACAAATATTGTGAAACAGATATAGAATTACTTAAACCACGATGCAGATATCA